ATGATGGGATTCAGGTTCTTGTTGGGTTTCCGCTTCCTGGCTCTTTGTCTGTGCCTCAAATCTCTGAGCCTGCTTCCGAGGCTCTCACAGACACAGCTGTTTTCACCTGAAAGGAATAGCAGCCAGGTGCCTTCCCACGATGATATCGAAAGTATAGATAAGGATTTGACCTGAGAAACTCGCCTTGATCTCCGGGTCAGGCGCAGTTCGCGTCTGGCAAGCAGACGGGAGGCTAGCTCGGTGCAAGGTCGTCGCAATGCTTTTATGATGCTGAGAGCCTAATGTTTTGATGTTAGAAAGGTATTTAGGCCTCCTGGAAACTCTGTGAAAGCATCGGTTCAACTTAGCTTACTAGCCTGAAAGCTTCATGGAATAACCTTAGCCTGGAAAGCAGTACGCTTGGGATTTCTTGCATGGTGATTCATGGGGCAATTGTTTCCTTGCTTGTACCTGGGACTTTGGTTTGAACTTTGCCAATAGGATTATGTCTCCTGCTTTTACCTGAAGATCTTTGGAACTGTATCCTGCATTTAACCTTAATCTTTGGAACTTTGCAATGCTTATTCTTAATTTTGACTTGGATTTTTTCCTCAATAAACTGTAAAACTACAGTTCTTGTGTGGTGGTGTTTGGAAGCAAGGTGAAGTCTACTCTGAGTTGCAACAGGTATTAAGCTGGGTGTTTGGGACCAAACCTTCATTAGAGCAACTTTTCGTGTAACCAAGAAGCTTGCATTTTGCTTGTCTGGCTTGTCTTGCAGTTCTTGTGTTCGCGGTCTCAGGACTCAGTCATGTTCTCATGGGATTTGGCTTTGCTGTTGTCTTTTTGTTTCATGCTTCAAAGTGTTATTTTGCATTGATCTTTTAGAACTTTACTTTTGCTTTTAAGAACTTTTTGTCTTTCTAAAATAAACTATAACGTCTCCTGGCTGTGTGCAGTTTGGTGTTATCAGCAAGGTGAATCTACTCTGAGGTGCGACACCAATGTTGAGCGGAAGTTCTGCAGAACCTTTCGTAATCTTACTTCTAAGCGAGATTACGAAAGGTTCTGCAGAACTTCCGCTCAACATTTGGGACTTTGGGGGTTTTTTTTCAGTGAGAAATTGAATCCAACCCAAATGATATCCAATTATTGGTTCCTGCAAGTGCTTGGCTCCTTCTACCTTTCCTAGAGTATTGACTTAGTGAAAGTTTGGATGGAAGACTAGTTTCCAGCCCAGAACGCCTCGGGCGGGCTTCCCCGGGGAACCTTAATGCGCCTTCCGCTCTTTGGAGAGCGGGTTTAGCATAACCCACAGCATTCGTTAAAATTAATTTTTAAAGTGTTTACATTCCGATATTAGAGCTGCCTAATGTTCTTCGTTGGAGCGTAAATTATAGATGTGTTGACCAGAGCGGGAAAGGAAAAGAAGCCTCTGCATTTCGCTTGGTGAATTATTTAAAACTGCCATTATTTGTTTTCGCAGGCCACGTTCTAGCAGGTTGGGATGTGTCACCATACATTAGGCCTCCTTGGGTCCTTTGCTCCTCAGCCCTGTGTCCTGCTTCCCTTTAAAACAGCGTTTCTCAACCTGGGGGTCGGGACCCCAGGAGGGGTCGCAAGGGGGTGTCAGAGGGGTCAGCAAAGACCATCAGAAAACACAGTATTTTCTGTTGGTCTTGGGGGTTCTGTTTGGGAAGTTTAGCCTAATTCTATCATTAGTTGAGTTTGGGATGTGATTGTAGGTGAACTATAAATCCCAGCAACTACAACTCCCAAATGTAACGGACTATTTTCCCCCAAATCAACCAATGTTCACATTTGGGCATATTGAGTATTTGTGCCAAGTTTGTTCCAGATCCATCATTGTTTGAGTCCATAGTGTTCTCTGAATGTCGGTGAACTACAACTCCAAAACTCAAGGTCAATGCTCACCAAAACCTTTTAGTATTTTCTGTTGGTCATGGGAGTTCTGTGGTTCAATTCCATCGTTGGTGGAGTTCAGAATGCTCTTTGACTGTAGGTCAACTATAAATCCCAACAACTATATCTCCCAAATCACAAAATCAATCTCCCTGCAACCCCACAAGTATTCAAATGTGGCTCTATTGGGTATATGTGCCAAATTTGGTGCAGTGAATGAAAATACATCCTGCATATCAGATATTTACATTACTATTCATAACAGTAGCAAAATGACATTTCTGAAGGAGTAATGGAAATGACGGTGAAAACAAGACCTGGGGCTGACTGTAGCTCAGATCACGAACTTCTTATTGCCCAATTTAGAATAAA